AAATGAGAAATCCCACTGCTGGTAGGAAGATTTATTCTTCTTTTCTAAAATACTGCCCTGCAAGGAAGGGTAAGGGTATCAAACCCAACCTCCTGCCAGCTAGAAAAGTCCTTTGCTGGGCCACATCCTCATCTTAAGGAACCAGACCCAGTTGCTTTGACTTTAATGGAACTCTGCTGCATTAAACCAGGAGTAAATATTCATACAGTATTTTTCCACTAAGTCACTCATGTTGAAACGTTGCAAGAATCACAGAAGTTGGCTGTTGAATCTGCAGATGTAAAAAAGGAAACACGGAACGTATTCTCCTCGCTTTTCACTGGCTTGCACAATCTTCACACTATTTTAAAGGAAAGTTGTAGGTTCTTTAACTCGGCACACGGATGAAAAATGAAAGTGCTGTGAAGTATGAATCTCCTGTTGTTTGTTATGTGTACTCTACTGTAAGTACTCATCATACCACAGAGGCAAACCAAAAAGTCCTGACCCAATGCATTTTATGAAACAGGAGGAGCAAAGGTGATTTATGTGCATAAAAGCAAAAACTGACAAGTCTCTGATTTTCTTGTAGAACAATCCCAAAACGATTGTCAAGACTGCTCAGGTTTTTCGCCCTCTGCACTTCCTGTAATAGGACTATTTTATCCAAAATGCTGTTTTATAGACACTGTGTAAAGGGTCATTTCCATCTGCTATCCAGGTTACTCCGAAGAATACTTCTCATTCCCTCTTGCACGGACTCTCAGCAACAGTTGAGAATGGCTTGTTTTCATTTCCAGCCTGCTTCTGCATCCCTGGTAAAGCATAAAACCACAAACACACCACCTACTTGGTTCTTTAGAGCCCTGACAGCAGTAGGACACCCTTAAAAATCCGAGAGGGTGATTATAGGCAGCCTGCAGCCAGATGAATGGGCAACACAGAGAATATACTCGTTTGGGTATTTCCTCACGAGTACCATAACCCTTCTCTTTTCCCCCTTGTAGACAGTAAATTCACTTAATAGGTGTCACTGAAAGCATCTGCATTTGCCAGCTCCAGGCTGGGTTAGTGACACCATCACACTCACTTCCCTACACAAAGCATGGAAGGGGCGATGTGGGACCTCTGAGAGCATCCTGCTTCAGTAGTAAATGCTCCTTCTACTAAGGCATGGAACTGAGTGGTGAAAAAAGTTTGGTACCAGAGGGTGAATATCAGGCACAAGCATGACTTGGGCTCGTCTGACGAGGACAGATGGTGCTGCAAAGGAATTTTATGTCAGACTCAGATGGTTAAAGAAACATAGACCATGCTCCTGGTCTGCAGCGCACATATGAAGTTGGGAAGGAGAAAGCTGATCATCAGAAGTGACTGACTCAACTTTCTACTGCTCATGTACTGCCATTTGGGGTTGTTCAGTCTGGGGAAGAGAAGGCTCCAGGAGGACCTTATAGCAGCCTTCCAGTACCTAAAGAGGTGCTGCAGGAGAGATGGGGAGGGACTCTTTGTTAGGGAGCGGAGCGATAGGATGAGGGGTAATGGTTTTACACTGAAAGAGGGGAGATTTAGATTATATATCAGGAAGAAATTCTTTCCTGTGAGAGTGGTGAGACACTGGAACAGGTTGCCCAGAGAAGCTGTGGATGCCCCATCCCTGGAGGGGTTCAAGGCCAGGCTGGATGGGGCTTTGAGCAACCTGGTCTGGTGGGAGGTGTCCCTGGTGATGGCAGGGGGTTGGAACTCGATGGGCTTTAAGGTCCCTTCCAACTCTCATCATTCTGTGATTCAATGATTCTGGGTGCCAGTCCTGACTCCAGCTCAGCTCTTTTTGCACACAGTAGCTGACATCAACATGGGAAGCAATACCCATTGTAAATCCATGTGTTCTCATAGTTTCACTCCAGCAGAGAAATAGGCTTGGGCTGGAGACCACTGAAGTGTGCATCCTCATGATAAGTAGTGCTCAAGTGCTCAAGATTACCTGGCATTACAGGAAACACAGGATTGAAAGATGACATTTAATTTCAAAAGTGTACAACCGTTCACCAATGGCCTCCGTTTCATGAACAACTTGAAAAAAATACTGGAGTAAGACATCTCTTTCAACCACTCCTTCCTTCCCACTTTCATTTTTCTTTAAAGACTCTCTATCTGGAGTGGAGACGCTCACATTTCTGTGCTCTGAGACACAGCAGTCACTGCCACAACAATCAATAAAAAATTAGCATGACTACAGGAACAGAGGCTTGGGATTAGAGAGATCTAAAAATGGAAGGATTTCCCTGCCCTCCCCTCTGCATCCTGATGAACCCTTCCAAAACCTGACTGTAAACATTTTAATTCTCTGTCAGCTTGCTGGGGGAAATCATTACAGAGGCAAAACTGGAGAGCACCGGGTGCTGCTCTGCAATAAGCATCTGTCAGTCAAGCAGGCGTCACCCTGCAAGTCACCCCAAGCACTTCCATCCTCCAACCCAGGAGCAGGGTGCTGGGCACAGAGGGTTTGCTGGGGGCTCTGAGCGAGGGATCAGGCCAAAGCTGCACTTCAGCCAGCCAGCAGCACGATACTATGATTTTTTATTTATTATTTAAAGCAAACAGAGTCATCCTCTCTCCCCCTCAAGCAGTTTATACATTTAATTCAATTTTAAGAGATACGCGTTTGTTTACTAGAGCAAACAAAAAACAGTAATGAAGAGCTGCAGTTAAAGAGAAGTAAGCAACCTGCTTGTCTTCCACTCAAAATTAAATTTTTAGCACCAAATATTGACATTAGAAGGTAAGCAGCTTAGCCCAATGTCTGCTTTTCACACCTTCCAAGTACACACCAGAGGATTTGGTGCGAGATGGCTGAAGGATACGTGCTGACCTACGCTGTGATTTCAGCTTTACATCCCACAGAAACCACCACCTAAAATGCGTTGGGGTTCCTCAGAATAAACCTCCATCACTCAATTTGCCAACACCATCAGCCTCGGGAATCTTTTACCCCTTTATCTCTAGTGCCTTCCTCCCTTGCAGCATCACAGACAGAGTACACCATACGCAGAAGAGAATGGTGGTATCGTGTACCACTGCACATCACCAGAACAGAAACTGCACTCTACTTAGTTAAGGAAATACATTCAAGCAGGAGACCTCACTGTCAATTAAAAGGAAGAAGGAAGGGGAAAAAGAGAAAGGAGGAAAAAAAAAAAAAAAAGGGGAAAAAGAAAAAAAAGGGACCAGAAGGACCTGTTGCAAAAAAGAGAGAAAAATTATTTAATTCAGATTAAAGCTTTGGGTTTGGAGCTTTTTTTATATTTTGGGTTTAGATTAACCACTCACATGTATACCTACAAGCAGTTTAACATCACAATTAAAAAGGCACAATCAGTTCAGCCCAGATTGCTTAAATCCAATGTAATTATTTCCCATAGAACTACTGAAGTCTACTGAAAACATCGCTGCAGCATTAGAGGGTTATTTGCTCCAAGGACCTTTTTAATATGGCTGTATTGTAATACTGCAGTGCAAAAGCCTCTCTAGTCATAAAAAGAAATTTGGCTCAGAAACACAACTTGTGGGCAATGAAAAATAAATCTGCTTCAATTTGCACTCATTTAATAATAGCATTATTTAATGAGATCAGTTACAATCGCTATCCTCAGAAGACATGGCAGTGCACCTCTTCTCATGAGACTCCTAGGGCACTAAAATGAAATTCATTTCTCCAAACCAAATATTCAAAGCAACCAGCAGCACTGGTTCTTAAAAGGGAGAAAAAACATTTTGTGACTGACCAGAAAAAACAGCCCCTCTCTACCTTCCCCCCCCCATTTCACTTTAAAGCTGCCATGCATTTCACTGGCACACGGATTTGTCACTACACTTTGATTTTCATTCCAAATCCAAAACAGACTGAATTTGCACACAGTGGGAAACAGCTCCTCAAACCTGGGTGTATGCTCTAGCACATCACTAGTCAAACCCCATAGATCCTGGCATAATTATTTTCCTACAAGGTTATGCCTAATTGGCCACCAACCTAACTGATTAATCACCTACATTATAAGAAGGCGTTGAGGAAAAAAAAAAAAAAAAAAAGCTGAAGGGCAACAAAATATTTATTTATTGGGGTGGCAAATCTGAAACCAAGAGCGGAAAGCTGGCGCAAGGAGAGAAAACCCCGCTAAAGAGTCACACAAACACACACACACAGAGAGAGAAAAATGAGAAAGAAACCGGTTGTCTCACGTTCGTTCCCACTCCGGCCGCGGAGATGCTCCCTACAGCTGGAAGTTGGCTTTGCCCGGCTCTGGAAAAAAAAAAAAAAAAAAAAAGCTGAAGGGCAACAAAATATTTATTTATTGGGGTGGCAAATCTGAAACCAAGAGCTGGCGCAAGGAGAGAAAACCCCGCTAAAGAGTCACACAAACACACACACAGAAAAATGAGAAAGAAACCGGTTGTCTCACGTTCGTTCCCACTCCGGCCGCGGAGATGCTCCCTACAGCTGGAAGTTGGCTTTGCCCGGCTCTGGAAAGTGTTAAATTATTCCACACGCCACCGCAGCGGCGGGTTCCCCGCGCAGCCCCGCGGTTGGCATCTCCCCGCTCCGCACGTCCCGATCGCGCAGTTCTCGCCCGACTTGGCCCTCGCTGCCAGACGCGGAGGCACCGGGCTGGCCGGGCATCCCTCCCCGCCTCCTTCCTCCTCCTCCTCCTCCTCCTCGGCGGCTCCTCCGCTGCCGCGCCAGCGCCTCCCTCCCGGCAGACAAAACTTTGCGCTTTTTCCCTCCGCACCGAGTTACGCGGGCGCGGCCGCCCCGGCAGCGGCTCCCGCAAAGAGCCGGGATCCCCCCCCCGACACACACACCTGCGCAAGGCGGCAGCGCAGCGGATGAAGTGGGGGGGGTGGGGTGGCGGGAATACCACGGGTGACTCCCCCCTACCCCTTTCCGCGCAGCCCCGCGTCCGCCCCCGCGGTTGGCTCCGCGCCTCACCGCCGCTTCCTCCTCCTCCTTCTCCTCCTCCTACCTGCAGCCGGCGCGGCTCCCCGCAGCGCCCCGCTCATCCTCCTCTGCCGGCGCAGGGCTGCGCGCCCCCTTCCTCCCCTCCCCTCTCCTCCGCTGCGCTCCCCGCGGCTGGGCGCGCAGCCTGCGCCGGCGGACGCGGCTCCCCGGCGAGCGGACCCGCGGCGCTCTGCGCGCAACGGCGGCGGCAGCGCCGGTCCCCTGCAGCCACCGCGCTACCGCATTCCCCCTAATAGCGGGGCGCGCCGCACCCGCGCCTGCGAGACCCCCCGGGTCCCCTCCCTCTTCATCCTCCCCCCCCGGGTGGCAGCAGCCGCCCCTCAGCCGCCCTTCTTCTCCTTTATTGCGGGCCCGCGGCTTCCAACTGGCTGGTCACCCCCCCACACCCTCCCTCAAGCCCATTCTTACACCCCACTCACCCACAAACGCTCCCCGGGCTGCGGGTCCCTTCCTCCTGCCTCAAGGGCCCGGTCGGTGATTCCAGAGAAATCTGGAGAAAGTCATTCCAGAGAAAGCTGGAGAAAGTCATTCCAGCCCCCAGGTGGTGGCGGGGGGACCGGGTTGGTCATCACTGCCGGGGGGACACAGCCAAAAGCTGACTTTGGGGCATGGGACACTTAAACTGTCACCCAGCCCAGGCAGCATTGTCCCTCTCCAGCGCTGGGCTGACAACACGTGGTAACTGTGAAGGTGGACGTGCCTTCGGCCAGCAGAGGAAGGTCCCTCAGATCAAGTGGAGACCCTAAGGGTGTTCTGAGCCCGCTGGGATGTGGCTTTCCACTCGGTTCCCATGTGGACCTCTTCTCCTTGGTGGTTGTCCCACAGGAGGTCTGCTCCTGGCTGCTGCTGCTCCTGTGCGGGGAGGAAGAGTAGGCGTCTGCCCTTGCTGCTTGAAAACGGACTCTGAAGGCAGAAATATATAGTCCCAGCAGATCAAACTTCACTTTTTGTTCCCCGTTTGATGCTCAGTATTTCTCTGGGAAGCTCTGACCTCTCCCAGCTCTGTCAGCAGGTGACCGGGCGGCTGGGCAGCGCTCAGGAAGGAGAATTCCCATCTGGCTACAGGTATCTGCCTTGTTCTCCTTGTCCTTTCTTCCAGTGGGGATGTCACCGAACAGCAAAATTAATCCCTGGCGAGGAAAAAAATTCAGGTGTGAGCTTGCAAACCACAGCAGTGAGACAGTGATTAAAGTTCTTGGCTCGTTCTAGGAGATGGAGCTTGTAATAGCTGGAGAAAAAGGCTTAAGCTGCTTTAGATATTCCTTCAGACGTAAGATCATGCAAGCATCTGTGGGGACTGCACCCATAGGAGAGGGAACCTCACTGGAGGTGTTAATAGTTGCGGAGTGTGACAGGGTGTTAGCCTTTTGTCAGCCTGACCCTACACATTTGACTAAACCATTTTTCCTGCCCCCACTCTCTTCCCAGCTCTCCCGAGTCACATATTTATTGCAGGAGTAATGGCCCTTCCTGCTTAATAAGCGGCTTTGGTGCAAACCTTGAGCCATTTGACAACGGCTGCCTCAGACATTTTGCTGTCCTTAACTCAGGGGTGATAAAAGAAGAATAAAGCCGTCAAACACCCTATTGATTACGTGACTGAGATGTACCCTGATTGCCCTTCCTACATTTTCCATTCTTACTTCTTTCCTGGGAAGTGGGTGTGGATGGAAAGAGGACCCATGGCTACAAACCAGCACTGAACCTGCGGTCTCTCTGCCCAACCTTCTCCAATCCCACCACATCTATGGGAGGAATTCAATTCTCAGCAAAAATATTTGTCAAATCTCAAGCCCTGCATCCTTCCAGTGTTAAATTATGGTGTCTCTGACTTTGAGGCCCCACCAGTTTTCTCACTTTGGTCTTCTTGCCTGGTTTTGGAGGGAGAAGTTTGGTAGGAACTCCCTGAGGTTCCCACAGTGACTGGATTAAGCCACAGCTTGTGATTTGGGTGGAAAGTGGGATTTGAGAGGTTGGTGTTTGGCTTCCAACTCCAGTATGGATTCCTGCCCGCTTTTAGCAAAAATAGGAGGAGGATCAGTTGGGTTCAGAAACTCACTGTTGGTTTGATGACCTCCCCGAGCTTTGGGAAGGCTCTCAAAAAAAAAAAAGAGTGAGCATAACGATGGATATCTGTACCAAGAGCAATGGATATCTGTACCGAGAGCATCGACTGCACAAATGCTTCTCTGCAATCCCATCCAAACAAAGAGATAGGGAACAGGGAAACGTTTGCAAAAGATCACTGAAAGAGATCTATATGCAAGCGACATTAATTTCCATTCCTTAAAACGCAGATGTCTGAGCAAAAAAAAAAAAAAGCCGGATAAGTGCCTGTGAATAAGAGAGCACTGGAGTGCTCCCAGTCGGAGCTCCGGCGCCTGTGAGTCAGCTGGGAAGCGGAGAGCCACAAACAGCTGGGCCAGCAAAGGAGCGAGCCCCGAGAGAGGGAGCAGGAGCAAAGATGCTGCAGTGCACAACTGCAGCCAGGGACTGATTATACTCATCTCCGAGCAGGCAGAGTTTGAAATGGAAATGAGGAGGAGAAGATTTCCCTGCCACACCACCCGGCAGCTACAGCAAACGCTGCTCGGAGACAAGAGGGAAGCAGGCAGCAGGGACTTTGTCTTGTTTCACCGTTATTCAGCTCCTCTCAGAGGTTCATTTAATTGTAGCTCAAAAAGTCCTATACTGTAATGAAACGTTACGAAAAACCTATTTCTAGTATTCTGTCTTTGCATCTTGACATTGGTATGGAGGTCTCCCTGCACGTGGAGAATTCGGCTTGTGCACTCAAAGCAGAGGAAATTACTGATTCCTTACACGAGTCTCATCCTTTTGGGCTTGGAAACATAATACTGGAGAATTCGGCTTGTGCACTCAAAGCAGAGCAAATTACTGATTCCTTACACAAGTCTCATCCTTTTGGGCTTGGAAACAAAATATTGCATGGCCAGCAGGTTGAGGGAGATCATCCTCCCCCTCTGCTCTACCCTGGTGAGGCCACATCTGGAGTACTGTGTCCAGTTCTAGGCTCCCCACTTCAAGAAAGACAGGGAACTGCTGGAGAGAGTCCAGCGGAGGCTACAAATATAATCAGGGACTGGAGCATCTTTCTTACGAGGAAAGGCTGAGAGGGGATCTCATCAATATCTAAAGGGCAGGTGGCAAGAGGATGGGGCCAGACTCTTCTCAGTGGTGCCTGGTGACAGGACAAGGGGCAACAGATACAAGCTGGAACACAGGAAATAAATTCTGTCTCAAAATGAGGAAAAACTTCTTCACTTTGAGGGTGGCAGAGCCCTGGAACAGGCTGCCCAGAGGGGTTGTGGAGTGTCCTTCTCTGGAGATATTCAAAACCCACCTGGATGTATTCCTGTCCAACCTGCTCTGGGTGACCCTGCTCTGGCAGAGAGTTGGACTAGATTATTTCTGAAGGTCCCTTCCAACCCCTAGGAATCCGTGATTTGGGATTTCAAAGGCCTTCAGAGCTAGGAATTCACCTGCTCTGGCAGGGAGTTGGACTAGATGATTTCTGAAGGACCCTTCCAATCCCTACGATTCCGTGATTCGGGATTTCAAAGGCCTTCAGAGCCAGGAATTCCAAAGGCCTCATATCTGAGCTGCAGGGTCTTCCTTTTGCAGTCAGGCACATCTGAAAATGCCTCAGGCTCTAGTGCCTACTCAACCCAAAATTCCTAGGAGGAAACCAAACCCACCTTCACTGGTGTACTTCAGTTCTCCCCGAACCTTCAACACTTCCAGACACGTAACTTCCAGGCAAGGATCAATGCAAACGTCTAGCAAATTTTTGCCTCTGCCAAAAAGAGAAGTTTGACTTTCCTTGTCATCATCCTTCATCACAGCTCGGGGTTGGATTTTTCCTTCTTCATTATGACTTTAGGAAACTCCTGGCTTTCTCAGGCAGGACACACATCTGCTGCTGGCACCTAAAAACAAACAAACAAAACCCCACTCTGATCTCTGTTTTGGTTGAAACAGAAATACATAATCAAATAAATGCCCAGGAATACTGCAAGTCTCATACACACAGGAAAACATTCTGACTTTTTATGTTGCGATGCTTTTACTTTACACTTCCCATCTGTGGACAGAGCTTGATACAGGTGTCACTACCTCAATTTTACCAAAAAGCCAAGTGAAGTGATGTAGCTGGTGTTTGACCAGTGGGACCATCTAGAAGATCAGGTGGCATGACTCGGTTTGCCATCTTTCAAACACACAGAGAATGCTTTCGATCCTTAGCTGCACTACAAAGATCTTTCTGGAGGCTTCCTTCTCACCTCTGTTATAAAAAATATCCTGTATTCAAGAATTAAAAGCAGTCTTTGCTGGGGTGACACTAGGTAGATCGTGGTGCCTTATGTCCCTGCTGTTCCCAATGCTCCAGGTTCCTTCCACCTCAAGCAGAAGGAGAGGATGGGAAGGGAGGGTCTGGGATTATTGGTACAACAGAGATTCCATTTCTATCAGAGGCAAATGATCAATATTTTCTTTATGATTCCCAGACTGATACAGTAAGTTAAGAGGGATTTTGGAGATACTGCCCAATAAAACGCATTGCATCCCTGTAGCATCCACTGCACATTCTTACAATAAACTCCAGTCTTTGGATTAATATTCAAGTGTAAACATTAGTCTGGATTTACATCCATAATACACACGCCCACCTCCTTCATTCACTGAAAGAATAATTTACTATTTTATGCAGTAGTCAGCTCCAAAAAATACTACTTCTCAAAGTAAAAGTCAAGTAAAACCCGTTAATAATAATTGCACTATTTCTTCTCTAAAATATATTCCTCGGTATGATTTCTCTAGAGGAAAACACAGATCTCTTTTGACTGCTTCGTGTTCCCTTTCTAAAGCATTTGAGAGATCTAACTTTAATAGCTTAAACATGAATTAAGAAAAATAAACCTATAAATTGAGATTCACATTGCCTAATATTACGTTTGGACATATTTATACCAGTAGCAATACTGTAATCATCCAAGCAGGAAACAAAAACAATACATATTTCTCCAGTCACAAATA